ATGGACGAGATTTTATTCGCCTGCATCTTGTATACCTTTGCATGGTGGCTTTTCTTTTCTATTCCGCTATACAAGAACGTTTTCTGGATTGCTAATACGTTGTCGACAGGTTGTACTAGTCTTTAGATAGTTGCAAAGTACGTGGCTGCCCTTCTGGTACAGATGGCTGCGGTATCTACAAGAACATTATGTAGTTGGAGAAGCACAAGCTCACTATTCTGCTTGATTAGTTCATTTGATTTATTTCCGGTTCAAGTGTGGAAATGCGAAATATGAAGTCGCGAAAATTTTTTCTGCTAGGAGAAATGTTAAGTGGATCGATGCTATTTGCAGCTTTTTTACGTTTTATTTCCAATTGACCGCAGTTTTTTCGAAGTATAATTATACGCTAAAAATTCTCAAGTAAAGAGCATATTCGATTTCATTATGAGCTTTATTTCAAGTCAAAAAGTTATGTGCTCAATCAATGGCTAAATTATTATGTGCTAAATTACTATTTTGAACTGACTTTAACGAAATATGACACTAATTACCATTATAATGAAATAGATGGCTCTTAATAATACTACTGCTATAAATAATGATAATATTAATATTAATAAGTAATAATAGTGATAGAAATATTGAATAACGATATGATAATAATAAATAGATAGTAATGGCGTAGTTGTCTGTGTTTCTCTTACTTGGCTGTGATTAAATTTTAAAAGAGTGAAGTTATAATATAAGGTTTTCTGGAAATAATGGAAGAAATCGCTGTAACTACTTCTAAGAAATGGGTATTTTCTAACTTATAAAACGTTATTAAAGACCAGAAAATTAAATTTAACGAATTCGATATTTAAAACCTTTCATGCTTGCTTCGCACTTCAATTTTTCGAACACTCTTCAGCTGTAGAAAAGTGTTATTCAAAGTAAAAATATTCTCCTATTTTTCAATTATTACTGCATTCTTTAATGCTAATTTTCTAGTTTATTAAACATCGTTAACACTTGATAAGCACAATGTCATTGCATCGTAAGTCGGGATAGACAAATTAATCATAATAATAATAAATGAAAAACTGACGGGAGATTTGTTCATTTCATTAATTCGACAGGTAACTTCACAGCATTCATTTAGTTAAGGATTTCAAGTTTTTAGTGTTTGAACATTGCTGAAAACCTGATTCATCTATCAATCACTCCTTACGACGAATTCGTCCACACCTACTGAAAATTTTCATTTAACTGATGGATTTATAGATGTAGAGATAGTGTAAACTGCAGTTTCCGCACATTTACCATACTTCTTAAAATATTCCACTTATCTCAAATTTTGGTAAGTAAGTGCAATGAACTCATTTTTTTACGAAACGTATCCTATCTTTTCAAGATTTCAGGTTTCTAGTAGAGTTCTATATGCAAACTTTAGATATCTTGTGTTATAATTGGTCAGTAACTGCTCTTTCATCAAATTCTGCAATTTTTGGAAAAAGCTCAGTTTGTCGTTTATACTTATAAATCTAATGTTTGCAAAAGTAATTATTCTCCATAAGAATGAAAAAATTACTGTGAAGCAAATTATGTCACATTCATTCTATATCCCAGTACTCAAATACAACGCGTGAAACTTCCACTAATGAATAGCTCGTAAATATGCGTGGAAAATTTACTAGAAAGTTTTTAGAAATATGTTGATATGAAATAAAATCATTCATATTACACCACTGAATGCTTCCAGTTTTCCAACAATTTTATTGAAATAAGGAAAACTTGATTTGCATTAAGACATTACTTCTCGTACCTTCTCCTTTTATGGATTCAACCTTTAGCTGCTAAATCTTTCACTTGTTTGAGACAAAACTTTCTGTTACTACCCAAATTAAAGTTTCAGCTTTACCATGAAAACAACGTACTTCTGGATCAGCACTGCATCAGTTGCTTGCTTTATGATGATATTCGTATCGTTGGTAATTTGCAGTCAGCTGTACCAAGAAATTAATGATCTGTATAAAGAAATACTCGATGAATTAGACAACTTCAAAGTGGGAATAAATCTTCAATGAAGACCTTTAAATTGTCTTGAAAAGTTTTACATGAACTCATTTGTAGTAGTAACAATCACTTCTTAAATAATATATAAGGTTTTTGTCATCCAAATAGTGGTTTTTTTACAAAAAATTTTCAAATGCATATTGGTAAAAAAATTTTTCTTCACAGGTTTTGGAAACAACTTCCAAGTAACTTTCCAATATTCTTGAAAGACTGCTTACACAGCCGTCATTACCACATAATGTTTAACAAAATTCAAATTTTCCTGTAATTATTATATGAATTAACGAGATCCTGAGGAGCGTGACTTCATTACATATTGATGTCACACCTGTTTCTTTCAACAACTTTAGACAGTAGCTAATGATGCTTGGTCGGAGATGATGAAATTCCCCTTGGAGAAGGAAAACATATCTCGTGTCAGGGATTTAAAAATAACATTTCCCGAATCTTTACGGTCAAAACGAATACATCGACAGGCGTACTCAAGCGAGGATGAAGATGAGCAGTTTGAGAATGAATTTCTTGCATTACAATGCAGTAAGACATTTGGATTGTTTTAACTTACATCACCAACCACTTTGCAGTGGTGACTAAAAAAGCTGAAAAATGAAGTATCATTATTTTTCAATACAAATTATTTGCAGCATGCGCAGCACAACCAAATTTCTGTCCATCAGGTCCACGAGGCCCACCCGGAATACCTGGCAATCCAGGAAGCAAGTTTCATTATATGAAAATTCTATCAAAATACTCCAAATATATCCAATACTCTCTGAATTCAATAAGACTGAATTAACTCTTTATTCGGAACAAAATAATAGATTCGATGGAAAATCAAAAATAGCAAAAGTTATTAAGAAAACAAAAAAATGTGTAAAGCGTTGAAAAAATTTGTAGTTGACGGAGAACCTGGCATACCCGGAAAGCCCGGAAGAGACGGCGATGATTCTCTGATTAAAACAGAATTTGATGGATATCAATCGTGTATCATATGTCCAAATGGAGCACAAGGATCACCTGGAGCAAAAGGACCACCTGGCGCTCAAGGACCACCAGGGAAAACTGGAGAACCAGGACGTGATGGAAGTCCAGGCTTGCCAGGATTGCCTGGTCTGCCTGGTAATCAAGGGCAATGTGGTAAGCCTTGAACTCATCCCTATTTTTACGAATCATATCCATTTCTGCAAGTTAATATAAATTTTTTGGTCATATTTTCAGGTCCCCGTGGACCAATTGGGCCTCCTGGACTAAGAGGGTCACCATCAGTCATCATATACGGTAGACCTGGACCGCAAGGACCACCTGGGTTAGAAGGACCAGTAGGACCACCAGGAGAAGATGGCTTTCCTGGACCTCCAGGAGAAGTGGGTGCACCAGGCAAGCAGGGTCCTCCAGGTTTCCCAGGTAGTCCTGGAGAAGACGGGCTGCCTGGAAAAGTACGTATTCTTTGATTTACTACAATTCCATGGCTCTTCATCAATTTAAAAGTTATATAAAACTCTTATTCTTCCAAAACATTGAATATAAGCAGAAATGGTCAGATATTATGACTTCTAAAGTACTTTAGTATTTGATAGTAAATGTAAAGACAGTCTTACGTTTGTCGCCGGGTTTTCAGCCGGGTGAATCCGGACCACCAGGTACTGATGCGGCTTACTGTCCCTGTCCTCCACGTACGAGCAATACGAATACAAAAATAATACCGGACGAAAAGTACGGTACTACATCACAGCAAGCAGATACTTCAGAGCAATCATCACTTGATTCAGAAAGCTATGCACCACCACAATCTGATCTTACAGTTGCACAGCGTTTTTCCTTCGAAGAACCCATCCACGACTCACGTAAGAAATCACGCCGCAATCGTGTGATACGTTTGGCGAAAACAACACGTCAGAAATCAAGACCACTACACGGAACCAAAAAATGAATTGAAATACCGTAAGATGGCTGACATTATTTGACGCACTAAACTGTGAAATTTCTAATGAACTGTATTAACACATCTAGCGAAGTCTGTTATCAGCATGAAATTTTTTTTGTTTTTAGAATTTCATTACAGAATATCTGAAATAAAAGCAATGAGTTGCTGCAGCATAAATAACCTTATTTACAGTATATCAATGTATTACAAAATAATGAGGCATAAAATTATTTACTTACGAGTTCATCATAACACTCACTACTTACGAGCTCAGACTCGTAAAAGCACGACTAGACTGATTCATAACGACTTGAACTACCGAGCCGGTTATACTTCTCAAAGTCCAAGAGATGACCTACTGACAATTTATAGTCAAGTAATTCTATCTGTAGTCACGAAAGTATTATATTCATGACAAGAAGATGCTTTGCAGAGAACTTTCAATGTTTCTCCAATTGTTTTCCGAGTGCAAAAGAGAATAATGTCCTTCAAATGATGTTACCTCGCCCTCAATTATTGCTACTTTACAGTACTATAGATAACAGTCTATTGCACCACAATTGTCATTATGGTTTGAAAATTTCAATTTTTTTCTGCGGCCATTGACCAAGTCTGAATGCAACAGAATGACTCAGTAGTGTTTGGAATCGCTGATCTGAAGTGTAAGGGTGGTCTTACTTTTGATGTGATTGCTTTCCTTAAATTGTTCTTAAGTATTTCTTCAGTGTCTTTTGTAATTATATGATGCTTATGTGGAATCATGTTTTCGTTTTTTTGTATCTTAATATGCTATGTCCCTTATTCTTCGCTATTTTACTTGCAAATTTTTGTAGCACTCTTTATTATGGGCAATTGGCAGTCGTATCAACTATTTCGGGAGTCTTCTCGTTCTGAGGTAGAATTTTCTTCCATACATTCGCACTGAAATCTTCTGTTGGTTTTATTGATAGAATCTACATTTTTAGCTTTCAAAGTCTAGATGCCCTCATGAAACGGATAAAAGTCAGTCGGATAATTCAAATGAAATAAGTCAATTGAAATCGGATTGTCCAGCAAGGCAAAGTTTGCAAATAGATCTCATTAATCAATGCAGTTCAATTTATCAGTTGAACGAGCTAAATGCTGTGAGTCCTTCTTGCATACCAATTTTTTTTCTGGTCATGCATTAAACTTCATTCCATAGTTTTAAAAACATTTTTTTTATTCAGCCATCTTAAGAGATTTGTTGCATATACTGTCTTGAATTATGCAATTAGCTTGTATGAAGTCAAATCATGTTTTTGTATTCCTTGATAAGATATGTATTCTTTGTTGAATTACAGATGCCGTCTCCTAATCAAAGACCTTCTCCTGATCAGCCATTTATTTTAAGTACAGAAAGAGAGCAGTCAACTATACCAAGAGCTGTGGATAATGGTTACTGGGAATATCCTTCAGAACAAATGTTTTGGAATGCTATGTTAAAAAAAGGTATTGATCATTAATTAGTTTTTTCTTTTGCTTAATGTTAAGTAGTACTTATGACTTACTTTTCATTTAAAAACTATGTTCATTTATTGTAGGTTGGCAGTGGAAGAATGATCAAATAAGTGCTCAGGACATGCGTAAGATTATCAAAATTCATAACGCTAACAATGAAGAAGTCTGGCGTGAAATTTTAAAGTGGGAAATCCTTCTACATCCGTACGTGTCTTCTTTGACTTTTTCGTTTTTTCTTATATCTTTGTGCCGAGATACATTCTCATCTTTAATGTGAAAGAAACTTTTATTTTTACTGCTTAATTCTACTGCACTTCTTCGAAAGTAGTTTTGGAAATTTCTTTTTTAAACTATACTAGTTGATAAAGTAGTGGCTAAGTGATTGGTAAAAGAAAGTTTTATTGCCTTTAAACTATTTTGTAGCCATAAATTTTAGTGAATGCGGATGTCCAAAGCTGAAGAGCTTTCATGGCAATTCCCAAAAAATTTCACCACGAGCCCGAATAAGACAGTTATTAGGGTTTGGTTTAGTTTTTTGTTCCATTTAGCTCCCATGCCAAGTTTTGCTGTTTTCAGTGAGTCTCTTTAATTATTTTTTACATTTTTTCAATATACGAATTTGGTGGAACCTTTGTCATTTTCAGATACGAATTACCTTTTGATCGACATGATTGGATGGTGGATCGATGTGGACAGAAAGAAGTATGTTCATACATCTGTTTAAAATTGTCTAAAATTCGTTCAGTATATCCTATTTCATTAATTAATTGTTTTTTTTTTAATTATCATTGGTTAATCATAATTATAATATGTGCTATAATTTATGGGAAATAAAGGCGTTAATAATGTTTACTATTATCATGTCGGTTCTTGATAGTTTTCTTTCTGTTTTTCACAGTTTGCTGAAAGTGTAAAATGTTCCCTTTTTTTAGAGAATAATGACTTATTTAGAGTTTTAATGCTAGTCGTCTTCCTGAACTTATCCTTTTTCTTTCTTTCAGGTGCATTATGTCATCGATTTTTATGACGCTGGTCCTGTTGATCCAAAGACAAAGCTCTTCACTGTTCTTGATGTTCGACCTGCATTCTGTGATTTGGGCAATATTTGGGATCGTATGGTTGTTGCCTATTGGCGATTTAAAGTGGAGATGCTTGGTCTTTCTCCGAAATTTACTGCTCATCAGAAAAAAGAGAACACAAAATAATATGATTTTGCGTATTTATCTCCTCAGCTGATGTTTCTTGTATGTTTTTTGTAAACTTCCACTTTTATTTTGTTATCAGTTTAAAATTACTCCTCAAGCTGACAATTTTTGATGAATGTGCTGTTAGGCTAAAAGTTAACTCTGAATTTTATCTGGTTGTTATTTTATTGCTTGGAATTTTTAGCTTGAAAGTGGACTTACTAAACTTTTCAGGTTATTAAGAATTTTTGATATCATTAACATCTCTCACGTTGGCACTCTTTTTATCTGTAAAGTTGAAATAGTAGTCTCTCTGTTCGCTTCTTCGCGGGCTGGGTTTTTTATCAAATAAATGGATAGATTGTGAGATGTTTTCATTAAAATAATGTTTGATAAAATGGTTATTTCTGGAAATATTTTTAAACGATTTAATTATGTCATGAGCCATTTTGAAAAGTTGGAAGATCCTATCGTCTCTTTCAAGTCCAACTATTTTACATACATTTTGCGTTTTTTTCAACAAGTTTCTTTTTAGAATTATTCTTTCATCAGACTTTCGTTGTTTTCTGTCACAGCCTAAATTACAATATTCGAAAACATACTTCCATAGTGTTATTAACTTTTTACTTCAGCTTTATGCTATTGAAAACCATACTAAATTGAGAAATTGCTCAGCTTTTCTGGTATGTGGATTGTGATGATCACATTTTTATATTGTTCTATTATAGTGTCTCAAAATATGACTGAAATTTCTCTAATTTAGTCAGTATTGTAAAGCTTATTTTGATTTTTTAGTGATCCAGTTTTGTTAGCTAAAGCAGTTTGATATTTGTGTTCAATGCATTTGCTCAATGTTATGCTTCATTTTAATAGTTACATCTCACACACCACTTTGTTATGATGTATAGAATATTAGTATTATTTAGACGATTAGTATCTTTATAATTTCTAATTTTTGTCACAAATATTAGCAGTGTGACAATTCTGGTGAAATTAGTTGTATTGTGATACTAAAGTATTTGTAGTCTTTTGTCGCATTAGGCCTTGTTCGTCACGGAAACATTTTCGTTCTAGGCTCCATTACTCACTAAAAATATAGATCATTATCTTGAGCGAAATTGTATTCGTAAAGGATGCTTATATCTTAGCTGTCCTTTTAACCAGCGACTTGACTTTAAGTGATCTATGCACTTCTTTTCCTCGTAAACTGATATAATGTGTGCTGCACATTGTAGTCAGTTTGTACTGGGAATTGTTCCAGAAATGTTTCCACGTCTTTTGACCGGTCTAGTGTCTGTCAAAGTCACCAAGCAGTCGTTGTTCTCTATTGGTCAATTATCACGTGGATTGATCACGAAATCGTTTGATGGTTTCAAAAATTTGCAGATGTTAGTGTGGTATTTTAGCATAATAAATCACTGGTTCGGTTAGTTAAGAAGGCATTTACATTTTGATAATGAAGATGAAGTTATTATCGTAATGTGTAGATTGTTCATAGTACTGCTTTAGGACTGATATTTTAAAAAGACGATTGGTAATTGGGTTGTCGGCATCTCAACAGTTGACACCTCTACAGCGAAAAATAATTGGGGTATGGCTCCTGGGATGTGCAGGAATGGTGTATGGAGCCGTTGCATTGGGAGGCATTACCAGGCATGAAGTCTGCTTATGTTTGTAGACATTTCTTTCTATCTCTTTTTTATGATAAGTTGAGAATCTTGTTTTAAATTATTGTTTTAGATTGACTGAATCAGGGCTAAGTATGGTGAATTGGGATCTTTTTCGTACAATGAGACCTCCATGGGATGAAGATCAGTGGAAACAGGAATTTGAACGTTACAAACAATTTCCAGAGTATAAGTTGTATGTTCTTCTAAGTTTGTCATCCTTAGGAATTTAAAGTGCGTTTTGGCAGGAGACAATGTGTATGATTTAGTTTTGTTACAAAATCTGTTTTAAGAAACAAGATGTGATATTCCAAATATGTATTCAAGCTGATCAATACCAAAAAGCTGGAACTATTGCTGTTGATAAGCTTTAATATATGTTGCAGCAAAAGTAGTAATGAAGAAATGACGTTGGTAGATTTTAAATTTATTTGGGCCATGGAGTACATCCACCGCATGTGGGGACGAGCGTTAGGCGTCATTTTTCTACTTCCTTGTGCATATTTTTGGAGTAAAGGTCATTTCGCTGCTGCAATGAAGAAAAGGATGTTTATTGCCGGTACTTTAGTTTGCTTACAAGTAAGCTCTCTTATGATGTGTTATAGTTTGGTAAATAAGTGAAGCATATTCTTTGACCACTAAAATAATATAATCTATAATAATATCAGTTACTTTGTACCATTTACTTTTTTTAGGGGCTCATTGGTTGGTGGATGGTAAAATCAGGATTGGATCCCAATAATAATTCTAACAAACAAATACCGCGAGTGTCGGAATATCGTTTAGCTACTCATCTGGCACTTGCCTTTTTGCTGTATACAGTATTTTTGTGGACTGGTCTTTCATATGTGTTTATTCCACACAATGTTAGTTTGTTTCAGTAGTTTTTTTATTGCAAATATCAATTTTCGTTTTATCAAAGTTTATTGTCCTATTTAACTTCCTTATCAATTTTTTTTCGAAAATCTTTATAGAAGGATTTTCAGTAACTCACGTTTACAATACGCTGTACAGGTAATTAGTTGGTTTCTTCTTTTTGTCATTTAAAATCCATGTGTAGATCGACCTTACATTTACCTACTGTGAAAAATAATAGTGTTTACAGAAGTCGACAAGTTTTTCTCGTATATCATTAGGGGGATGATTATTTGTATACAGATGGTTTTATTTCTGCAAATAATTCGTCTAGTGATGTAGAAGCAAATTTAAACAAGACGGGGAATAAATTAGTATTGACAATTCTTCATGTATTTATGTTGCACTCTTGTACTTCAAGTTTTATCATACCAAGTTTAAACATTGACTTCATTATCTTAAATTTATGGCTGCATTGGTGTAAAAAAGTTATCGTTTGCATAATAATCACTTTTGTTTCGAAGAATGGAAGTTGATATAATTTTAGTGTATTTGAAAGAAATAGACAGTTCAGAAAGTGAGAAGATTGTTGCTTTTCAAATTTTCTTATCTCTTGAAGGTTGCAATGCAAGCGGTTTTTTAATATAACAAGCTTAATTTAATTTCAGCATGTCAACATCAGTAGAATCGGGCAATTGCGTAGCATGACACATTTATCAAAAACTCTGATCATTTTGACCGCAATAATGGGTTAGAGCAGTTTGTAATTCTGGACAAGATTGAAACTGATAGTTTACGAGGTCTTTTATTTATATAAATTTCTATAAATAACGTGGTTTCACATTTAGGCGCTTTTGTTGCTGGCTTAGATGCGGGATTAGTGTACAATACATGGCCGAAATATGCAGAAAGCTGGTTTCCAGAAGATTTGTGGATTAAAGATCCTAAATGGCGAAACATTTTTGAAAATCCCACGACTGCTCAATTTATGCATCGGAATATGGTATTGTTTTTTTCCGAAATTTATTATATTGGCTTTAGTAAAAGTAGTTGTACCATTATATGCTCATTTTTTTAACGTCAATCTATATATTTCCAATTTACTTTTGTCTATTATTTCTTGACATTACTTCTGTAATCTCTAATTTTACTATTTATAGGCATATTTGACACTGCTATCAGTAACACTTACTTGGTTGATTGGACGTCGTATGCGTCTCGGTCAGCGTGCTAAATTTGCTTTACATTCAATGATGGGTATGATGTATGTTCAAGTGATTCTAGGAATTGCAACATTGGTAACTATTTAATTCGTATCCTAGAATTGTTTCTTTTTGATTTTTTAAGATTTCAATACTTTAAACCATTAAATTCATGTTTTTTTTTCGGAATCAAGTTTATGTATCAAAATCATGTGTGATAATCTATCTTTGTGTCATTATTAATGTAATGACTTTCAATTACTTTTTCTTTTGAAAAGTTTGTAAAAACGTTTGAAATATATATATCATGTGTCGTGAAGGGCACTTGATTGTATTGTTTGTTGATTTTTATCAGCAATTGATTGATGAACATGTAATGAAGGCTAAACGTGTTTTTTTCCTGATTTCATAAATTTGAGTCAAAAGAGGATTTAATTATGCATTTCACTTAATATTTTACTGCGTTCTGTGTTTTGCATTTTATTATTTACAATTTTAGGTGCACTATGTTCCAGTCTACCTGGGTGTCATGCACCAGAGTGCATCGATGGTTTTAATGACTTGCGTGTTCTGGCTTTCTAATGAAATTCGTCGTATCCCCAAGTAGGAGTCTGTCTAATTGTTTTTTTTTTCGTAATAGAATATGTTTATGTTTCAAGATCAAGAATTTTGTGTTGAAGTATTGTATGTGGTGGGAAATAAAAGTGTTTTACAAAATGAACTTATGTTGTTTTAACAGCTGATTAAATGTGATTTGATTTTTTAAATGTTTTTCTAAATATCATATATCTGTATCAACTTGTGTCATACTGCAGTTATTATGTGTATTTGTGCAAATATTTTCGAACTTTTCATCGCACATTGAGTTGTTTAGTTTGTTAATTGTTATTGAGCTGTTGGTAATTTGTTATTTCTTCGATTATTTGACGAGGCGCCTTCTTATTTAAGAGATCTTGTGTCAGAGATTTGATAGTTGATGAAGTTATATGAGAAATTATTCTCGTGTAATTTCTCTAATTTGTCATGGCATTACATTGTCTCTGCTATGAATCATCATAATTGAAGTATAAAGGTATCGATAATGAGCTAAAACAACATCCATGTTTCCAATAATAAAACAATTAAAGCGATTTAGATATTTTCATCTAATTTATAAATTGAATAGTTTAGTTCTAAGTCTATTCAATTCTAATTTATCTAATCTAACTTTAATTCATCTAATTTATAGACTGAATAATAGCAATTCCTCAAGTTGCGTACGAAACTTGTGGAATTGTTATTATTAAGTTTTCATGTTTCTATAGGTTGTGCGCTTTTTCAGTTACTAATTTCCTGATTAATGGGGAGTGAGGTAGTTGTTAGCAGTTCCGATTACTATGACTGTTTTACTACTTGAAATCCGAAAATTTTCAACTTATTATATTCTTATTAAAAGTGGTGTTATGCTGACCATTAGATTATGTGGATCACAGACAGGGGCTTGGGTTTGCTACGCTGTAATGTTTTTCTTTCCAACGATTGGTAATGATGGATTTACCGTGTTCATCATCAAATTTCATTAATAGCTTGTTGAGATTTGCGAGATAATATCATTGTTGATTTTGCTGGTACAGAAGTGGTAGTAACCTTGAAATCAGTAGTATCTGAGTGTCCATCAGCAGAGAAAAGTTATTTTTTATTTTGAAGATTTCTTTAAGAAGGATTATATCTATGAGGTATTCCATCCAAAAAACATCAATGAAATCTCACAATAAAATTTAGTAGATAATCATTGATTGTTTGACGTGTCACAGCTGAATTTGTGTTTGAGATCCTAAATTTGCTCGCTACTTTAGGCTGATTAAGAGTTGCAAGAACTTACCTCGGCAAGCTCGTCACTTTTCATATCGAACTTAGCAGATAGCGATAAATTAATCTTCAACTTTTTGCTAGGAGTTGAGAGCTTCTTCCTATAAAGTCTATATAACTAACTTCAGTTCATTAAACGCATGTTTCGCATAATTCCGACAGTCAACCTTTACTGTTTGTCTTTTGCGAATATTTCAGTTAAATCACCTTCCATCAGATGTACTCTTATATGCAATTAGTATGTTGAACTCTGCAATGACTGATTGAGTGGCTATAATTTTGGCGCTTATAAAACATCAGATCATTATGATTTTTGAAGTATAAAAATGTAGAGTAATCATCTATGATCGTACGGGCAATATTTTGCGAATACTGAAGGAAGATTTCGGTTGTATTATAATTATAACTTTGATACAATGAGCAGAAGGAATGTGTAGTAGTTATGTAATTTGTAATGTGGAATATCCAAATTACTTCATACCTGTATCTTTTGTATTTTGGTTTTGCATTATTTTGAGAGCGATATGGACAGTGCTGGGTTATTACCTGAGGTGTACGGTTCGATAGTTTATCAGCCTAAGCTAATAATTAATGATTAATATGTGCGTATAGTTCATAATCATCACTGGTAAGAGTAAGTGAGGTTAAGTGAATTGGCTTTAACACATTTCCAAGATCAATCGCAATAAGTAGAATTTATGAATAATGTGATTTATGAATCAGTTTTCAATTTGCACATATGATTTCTCGATAATTCGGAGGAGATACTAAAAATAAAGTTCGTCTATAGCTGGCTTAAGGAAATAAATCTACTCTTTCAGAACTTTTGAAAAGATTGAGGTGTGTAAGATTTATCAAGCACTTTTTTATAATTTAGTGATTAATTTATATTAATTATTCAGAATAGAATACAAGACCTAAAAGCCCATAATACTCACCATTTGCTTCTTCCAGTGAATGTACCGTATTTGACTAGCCAATCGACAAATCTTTAGAAATACAAAAATTATCATGACCAGCATAAGTAGTACCAAAGTTGCACATAAAGTAGAACTGGAGTTTGCCACTTGCAACAATTCTTTGTTTGAAGGTGGTTCCACCTTTAAGTTTGTCACCTGCTTAGATCTTGTGATACCCACTAATGGGTCATTAACTTCTCCCTCAAAAGCGAGATCAGTCTGGCTTTCGCGGATGCCTGAAAAATTATTTCAACGGGAAGGAATTGCATGCATTGCTTGTAAAAAAAATCAGAAGGTTTAGACTCTGTAGTAAAACCTTATGTCCTGCAGAAGCCAAAAAGGAAGTCGTACCCATTATATGAGTAATTAAAATCAAACTAATCGCGAAAGCTCTTCACAAAAGCAACCGCGATTAGAATTCATAAAGTTGACAAAGGAATTTATCAAGTCTTACGTATTCTTAATGCGTGCTATCATGACTGATGCAAATGTGTGCATGTTTCAGCATCAATTCATGAGGTACTTTAATTTCGTTCAAAAAGTTAATAAGCAACATGCACTCGCAAATATAAGAAAAGTTCGTCACTCCATTAATAAGGAGAATTCGTGAAGTCCGTCAACATGAATCCTTTTTATCCTTCTTTAGAATGAAGTTAGACGCTACTAATACGAAAAGAGAAGCAAAAATTTTCTTCTTTCCGAGTCAGAGGCATTAACAAACCTGTCAACCATAATTTCAGTTTCAGTGGTTAGCAGCCTCAAGAGATGTGATAAATGCATGTTTCAGTATCAATTCATGAAGTATTTGGTTTATGAAGTATCTCTGATTGAGTAAACTATTTGGAAATCAACAACCAATTATGATTATATATCAATTACAAAGTAAAAAACTCTGCGAGTTAACGGATGCTCCATACAACTATGAGTCATATTCTTGTTGAAATTGAAATGGACTTTTTAATAATTTATATTGGAAGTGGAAAAGAAAGATAGAAAGTAAAATAAGGCGCGATAAATAACCATTCCTAAGGACCTGAATGCTATTAATATTATCACTGGTGCAGCAGACTAGACATTTGTGTTCGTTAAATGCACCCGAAGTTGTCTTGCTAATTACTTAAATGCATCTGGCTGAATAATGCAGTTAATTAACCAACCAACTGTCCTGATATTTCCTATCATCATATTAGCAATCGCATCAGCTGCTATCCAAGAATAAACTTTTTAGCATGAATACACAAAAAATGTGGAATTAATTTGATGTCAGTGATTACAAATAATCATGAAATTGTATTTTCAGTAAATAATTAAATACGAATGATAGAATAATGTAAGCAGCTCATGAAAAATACTGATAAAACATTTGTTGTTCATACAAATTAAAATTCACTTTTGAAATGCAGGAAATTGATACATATCTTGAGTTTAGTAATGAATTAAAGAGCCATCAAGAATCATATTTCGTGGAGCAGAGAATTTTGTTTTTTAAGCATTCAACACTTCTCATACAACAAACACAGCGACTTAGAGGCAAAGCTCTAGATGTATTAAACTAAAATATTAATAGAGCATGTTCGAAGCAAAATAACGAAAATGTAACCAAGAACTGCAAATGAACAATGAACAGAAAAAATCTACAAGAAGTCTTACTTGTATTAAGCAGTAATGAAAATTGATGATTATCAAACAACCTAAATTCTCATCTAAATTAACCATTAACAACTAAAATGAAGAAATATGTGCTTATTTTTCCTGCACCTTCATAAACATTATCACGCATAAACAAGTAATTGCTCAGGATAATTAAAACTCACATTCGACAACAAGATTAAATTAGTGTGTTGCTTCAATTACATTAAACTGTGACAGTGAATCAGCAAGCATCCGATGCATCTAGATCTCGATAACACCTTATCACTCTTCCATACATCTGAGTCACAAAGATATATCAAAAAACCATGTTTTCAGATATATTAAGAAATCACGTCATGGATTTCTAATATTTTTGATAATATGGTTTTCTAAATAAACTAACTTTAAATCAAGCAAAACTAAACCAGATACTTGGTTTTCGTTATTTCTTAAATAAATAGCTGATTTTACCGTGACGCCAAGAATTTCATTTTCTTCTGGATTCCAAACTGAATCAAATACTGTAGAGCTGCAACCAGTAAAATCTTTGACACGTTCCCCTGTTAGAATGTCGAAGACTGCAAAAAAGATAACTTGTGAAAATAATATTTGAATGAAAGCCGAATTATTGTAAACATATGATACTACATGCATACTGAAATATACAACGGATCACTAACTAGAAATTCTTCCCAAGTCGTTCCCACCATGTACGTACCGCTGGCCAGTTCTGGTACAGGAAAATTTTACGCGCCAAAAGAATTCAAAGAGATGGAGGTCTTTCACCGTCCATGCTGATAAATTATCAAGGGTTATAAATTCAACTATATGATATTTTGAGAACAGTAAATTTTGTATTTTTTAAGATGAAATTTCCTCCATAGTTGTCGGAATAATTTGATGTTGCAGAAAATTCATGCCATTAAAAATTATTGCCTTTTTGAAAAAGTGGAAGTCCTACAGTTTGAACTGGTCGTTCTCGTCTGTCGTCTACATAAGTCTAAGATTGTAATCAGTTACTTTTATTCTTAACATTATTTACACTCAATTTCAAACAATTCCCATAATTTCACCATTTTACTATAATCTGAAGTCCAGTTAACTACTCTATAATCAGTTATAAATACAAGCAAATCATGCTCAATACATCTGCAGCTTTATCACTGAAGATTTAAATATCGTACTGTACCTTATTCAACAACCGCAAATCCCAAATATTGATGACATTGTTATGATTACTAGCAACCAGATACATATCTTGGTCATCAATATCAATATTACTAATAGCAGAATCATTTTTACTAGAAAGTGCAACAGGAATGTCATCTCTTAACAAACGTTTATCCCAAATCTAAATTATCAGTGATAGATCACTCATATTTTTATCACAGCAATGCATCTTATCTAGTCAATATTCTATTAAAAATATCTCCAATTATTATCATATATCAATGATGAATACTTATGTAATATGTTTGGCAAAATTAACATTTATGTTTTTTGAAACTACTCAGTGGGTCTTAATATTCTAACTTGAACTCACTACTTTTCACCTGACAAATATCAGTAATTACTAGGTAAATCATCAGAAAAAGTAAGAAATAGAGCATAAGAATTAGCGAAAGCAAATCACGCATTTCCTCTCATAGACTTAAAAAACTTGAATCTTTTCAAAAATCGACAAAATAAACAAAATTTACACACTAACCTTAAAAAATCCATCCGTACTTGAAGAATAAAAAATATGCGGATTAATATGTGAGCAGGATACTGATGAAATATTACTAATGTGTGCACGGTGCTGAAATTATTTTTATAACTTTTAAAGCTGTTTGTTTTCAAAAGTATTTTCTGTTTTTCTTCTTCTCACAACCATTTTTTCGAAAAATTGGTAACTAAGTAGAAGGCTAAGATTTATTTTGATTTTAATTGAAAACAACAAATAATACTTCTTATTAGTTTTTTGCTTGATAGTGAAGCCATAATAATTAAGGCAAATCACGATTAAGATTATAAACTTATTTTCTAATATTTGTCAAGTTGATCTGCTTCTTGACTGTGCATCAAATTCTTACCAAACTATAAGAGTAGTCCTGAGTATTAATTATGGTAATTAAACCGTATGATCCAGCAATCACAATGTGTTCATCATCCAAAGAGTAACTTAGGGAATAATATGCTTCTCTTAAACTCATCCTTTATTCAAAATTTGAAAAAATGAACAAAAAGGATGAATTAAAGAAATTTTTTCAAAGTTATGCGTGATTCTATTTGCTTTTAATATATAGCAATAACAATTTCACGAATAATTTTTGCGCGGTATAAGTGCTTACAATCCTCCAATCTCAGATGGTGGTTGTGCACGAAAAGTGTTCCATCTCGATCCTTCATAAAATTTATCACGAGGAACGTGAAGTACTGTAACTTATAACTGCGATGTTAGAATCATATACAGATTGTTTACGATATTTAAAAACTCAGTAACGAACAAATATTTCAATCTACAGTAAAAATTTTGATATTGTTGTACCATTCTTTTTTATAAATTTAAAAAAACTTCTCAAATAATTCAACTTCAGAATGCAGAAGTACTGTCATCAATTGGATAGTGAGTGTTAAACAGTTTCGAAAAGCAAAGCATATTTCTTAAATTCTAGTCAAAGGCCAATAAGTCATTAAATGAAAGGTAGAAAGCATTACGGAAAGCTTCAAATGTAGCAACTGCTATGCGATCACCACGATTGCTGAGAGCTAAATCAGTAACAGGACCTGTGCCGGGTAAATATATTTCCTTAAACAGTGAATACTTGGTTAGTTGCCGATGATATACACGAATCGTTCTTCGTGGAGGAACTGCAAGAGAAATAAATAGAAAAGTATTCAAGAAATGATAAAAATAAAAATTTAATTCGTGAGGTGGAAAATATGCCAGTAACTTTATATCATTCTAAATAATTCTGACCTAGTACTTTTTTGGTACATAGCAATATAAAGTTCATTTTTTGATTCCAAAATTATATAATTAAAAACTGTTTCGAAATCCTTCTAATTTATAAATTATAGCTAAAAATTTTCCCTCGTTGACTACCTTATATCAGCAATATGAAGTCACAAAAAGTTACCGGAACCTAAGGCGATAAACTCTCCATTTGGTAAAAACAAGCAGCGACACAATTCATACCTACAGTGGTCGTCTACAGTCGATTTATCCGGTAGAAATCTGTAACTAGCGCATTAAAGTAACACAATAAATTTTTTACAGTTTGGCAATAACATGTAATCACGAGTCATATCACTTGTTCTAGATAATTAATTACGGCAATCAATAAGTGTGCAAAGTATGTTTTTCAACAGAAGTTATCAATACAAATAGCGACTTGTTAAAATTTTTGTTTTCACTACTCAAACCAAAAAATAGCACAATCAGTGCTAAATCACACATTTATCCAGTTTTGACCACAAGACTGATCGTAAAGATAAGATCTTGATCATCGTACTTGGCATACTGATCCTGCTTTCAAGACTCTTTAAATTATATTTATTGATTATTACTCCTTAATAATTAAGAAATAATTGCTGTTATTTATTATAGAAGATGAGGGCCACAGCAATGAAGCTGTGATGATTTAACAAATAAAAAACAGCGGTGATGTAAAGAAAGAAAAATAGAGAAGGATGTGATAAGGCATTAATTACTTTGCAAAAATAGGAATCTCTATTACTATGCTCTATTAGTATGAAACTACTAACAAATCATAATCTGAAATAGCTTTAACTTCTGCTTTGCCGACAGTATCATGATCGGCAAGTGTTTTCTCAATAATAATAAAGTAAGAAGTACTCGTCGTAATCATTATGAAACAACTGTTGACCTGTTATTTAAATTACTTCTTTCAGCAGGTGTAAATGCATCGAGAGTGTATAGTGAAGACCACTTGTGAGTTAGATAAGGTAGTCCGCGTTTGCCAAATTCACGACTTCTCACCATTTTTGCACAAGGAATGCTAGAGTAAAAGCTGCCTGACTGACAGGATGTCCAGTTCTTCAAAATCTCTGTTTTCTAAAATGTTAGTTTTACATAAATCAGCGAGAAGTTTGCAGAGAATAAAATTTTGGAATATGTTCAATTGTGTGTGCATAAAAAAGTAATTAACTTTTACATTCATGTTGTGGACCAGTATTTTCTCTTCTCTGTGCAAATTTCAGAAAACGCTGGAAAAACTTTAAACACGAGAATGCCAAAGTCGAACTATTTTCTTGCAAAATCTACAAAATCTGAATATTACTTACGATTCAAAAAAAAGTATATAGGACAGAAAACATAAAAACATCAAAGAGTTTGATAAGATTTTAAAAAATTTAATAATATTCGTTTCAATGCGAGGTTTTTAGACTCCCATATGATTTCCAAAGGAAGCAAACTTATTCAGGTCTTCCAGAAAATGCTGTTGTTTTTTCGGCAAAGTGAACTCACACGAACATCAACACCATTGCCAAAATAAATCTTGTCTAAATCACCCTAATCCTCTTTTTTTCCGCGGGCATTAAAATGGTCAAAAGTAAATCCATGCACCATATTCATCAATAGTAAGCAGGTGCAAGGAAATTTTATGACAGTTGTAGTTTCTGTTTTTTAATGCATGTGCTTAAGTGAAAAAACGGTAATTGCAAGTAATGTGCAAAAAAGCTAATGTATGGTGCCTTTGTCCATGAAGCTCGTCAAATATCTTTCAATTTAATCCATGTATGATTTGAATTTCTGAATTAATCTCATTGCAAAGAAAACAATGAGATTACAGTTTCGTATTCGTGTTGTTTGCATGTTTGTACTACTTTTTGCTCTTGAAGTGCCCAAAATTGCATTAAATTTCAGCTTAAGTTGCAGTAACGTATTAAGCAGTTTTGTTAATTTTCATCCATATCGTTACCCGGATTCTATTTGTAAAGTTCCAAAGTTGCCATGAGGGTGAGAACAAGCTGTATGCCAAAGCGTACTGGACTAGCCGATAAGAAGCAGTCAGTTTAGCAGCAGTAAAAAGCGAATACGAGAGAAATGTTGGATGTATAGAAATATATTTCGTAGCATACTGCGATTGCGAGCAAAATGCAAAAAGTTACTGTGCAGTAACTTCCAGAGTGGGTGGATATACGTATCTATCGTACGACCATGTTTACATAACTATCTCAATAGCGATGAGATGGAATTCTTGATTTGTCTTCACTGCCACTGAAAGCATATATGAGAGTAGCAAAATTGCGACAAGCGCATTCAGCTTGCATTTTAAAATATTGCGTAGAATTAATTATTTACTACTTAAATGTTTTACATTCAATAATTTTGGCTTTTGATGTCGTACAAAAAGATTAAAAAAAGTTTAGTTGGCGCAGATGAAAGATCTCATCTAAGTATTTTTCAAGATTTTGTGATTGGATTTTGTTACAGAGCAAAAGCGCGTGACAGATATACTATTGGCCGCTAAGAACTAAATTTTTTCAGTTTAGCTGAAATTGAGCCATCTACTAGTGTCCCATCTGAAAAGTCTTTAAGCATTTGAAATAAATAATACGATGTAGAGTGAAATTGAAGTAGACATTGAAGTTAGGAGTATAATTTTTCAATTCTTTCTGGAATTTCAGTTCATTTTCTATGAAGAATAGAACAAACTGACTTGCAGCGAAATAAAGCCTTGATACATTGGATATCGAACCGATCTGGAGCTTTTATACCCAAAATTCCAATTTCAAAAATGGTTAAAAGCCGTGAGTTGGTCAAATGTGGACGGGTAACTGCGTTCTTACTCTCGTTTGCACCAGTTAACATTGACTCTTTTACATCTGGTCAAAAGGTTATTTATGAAATCTGTCGTTTTCAATTTTATTGCTTAATTATATGAATGTATTTTTCTAAAAATGTATTGAAATGAAGATATCGTTGTTAAGTTTATAAGAGAAAGTCCATTTAATTTGTTCACTAGAATTGTGGCACTCGAGAATTTTACTGGGGACAAAATGGGCATAGAGGGTATATGCTTAATGTCCTACATCTAAATTATTTACTAAACTTAGTGTTGAATTTATTAACTAGGAATCTCTCGCAATTACCGTTTTTGTGGTCGCACTGCATCATTAGGCGTGTGTACTACTGTTATACAATTAATTTAGCTGACGAATAAAGTGATTGCTTTGATTACTTCAAGTGTTTACTCTTTATTATTTCTCTGCTCATATTGTGAAGAAGAATGCTTGCTTTTTCGAATATTTCATTCTTTTTAGATGTGTACCTAATGACTGAAAGTCGCTTTTTGAAGGTCGTGAAATGTATCGCTGTATGCATTTACCTGAAAAACAGATAATCAGTATTGGTCATAGCACGTTTCAGCAAAATGCAAGTTTTTATTATTTTAAAAGAATGAAGTTAGTTTTTGACGATGTCAAAGCATAGAACTGCTCAATTTAATTATTCATAAGTAACAGAGAATATACGGATGCATATACAGATACTGTTTTTGAAGCTAAAGCGATGATCAGTACGCATTTGCTTTTAAATGCCCTACAAAATCAATAATTTGTATGCGTCTGATCATGGTAAGAAAAAATAATAATTTTCATCTTTTCTTAGTTGACTTTAATCAAGCATTAAATCCCCGATTTCGTTTCATGATTTACAGCTAGAATAATACGTATTTTCACGCGCCAGTTTTGCAATTACCAGTTGACACTGCAGCATAATTTTCATAGCAATGATGAGCATATTACTGATTTCGTTTGTAATAAGACAGGCAATCGATTTGCTTATACTACAGAAGATGCAAATGGTATGCTTCTTCATTTTTAATGATAAGCTTGTATTTACTCTGAGCATAAATTATTTAAACATTGATTTAAAGTAAACTTTCACAAAAACTTGTTTTGTGGGATGATTTTTCGAGTAATTTTTTCTTATTAAAAGAAAAGCAGAAATAGATAACAAAGAAGAGTTGCAATGCGCTTTGGTAGTTTTTTCAATGCAAGTTAAATTCAAATAATGAATGATCCTTTTCGTATATTTTATAGTTTTACCACACTTTTGTAAATGAAATTGATGATATTAGAAGATGGAATTTCATTAGCGGACTATTCCCAGAAGTAACATCGACGTGGTGTGTTCTTGCTTAAAGTCATAATTCACTTCGCCAATTGAGTTCAAGAACTTTGCTGTTTAATATTAAACCGAAGTCTCCTGCTTTCGAAAAGACGAAATTTTTTAGGCCATCACTTTTCGCTGCCCATTACACCATGGGTGATGACGAAGAAATCATTGTGGGTGGATCATTTGGTTTTATAAATTTTTGCGACATTCGTCGTTGCCGTTCTTACATGATTTATTTTGATCGTGATTAAAATTCGAATTATGTTTGAGAGAAACTTTCAGATATAAAAAAGGATTCTATAGTCAGGCAATATTTTTTTAGTTCAAAGCTCATCCAGAATCTGTCAAATCTATTTACTGTTCACCAAACAATCCACGTATTTTCTGTACTGGAGCTGAAGATGGATTTTGCAAGGTAATTGAAATATTAAATTTTTGTGAACAGAATCAAATAAAAGATTTAATAAAAGGTGAAGGTAGTGCAAGTAATATAATGTTTGACAAGCTAATAACGTGTCCAAGTAATCAGTAATTTAGATGTGGGACCGTCGTACGCTTGAGGCGACTATTGCACTTAATAAGTGCAGTGATGAAGTAGTGATGAGTATTGACGGTGAGAGTAGTGATAGGTATATTACAACGACTGGAACTAACTTGAAATGTGGTCTCTAGGATATACGTAGGCTTACAGAGGTTAATTTTTATATTAGAAGTAAGAAATAATCTTCATGCACAGAAATGCGCCGCATGTTTTGAGAGATTAGCAGTTTTGATTTCATATAAAAAACACTTGTTATGCGAAAAATAGTTCTGGCCCAAAAGTAAATGATTAAAAGAATTTGTTGAGCTCATATTAATTATATATAATTATATTTCCTTTTACTTAATATGCACTAAAATTTATTTCCAGGATGTTCAAGATTTCAGTAGATCAGAGGAGTTTCGGGAATCATTTCACTGTGGTTAGGCGTTTATTTGCTTTTTTCAGAAACAGCAAAGTGATTACTCTTCACAAGCGTGATGAAAAAAAGATATATTATTTCAGCTCTGAAATTTATGCCACCAAATCATTCAGAACTTCTGTGGCGTGCTAAATTTTCACCAGAACGGACTGGGCATCGTTTCATTTACACT